TGTTACTGTGCACTATTTTATTTTTATATTTGTATCATGTTCGAATAAAATTTCATTTCATTTCATTTCATTTCAAACTCGTCTGTTTGTCCACTATTCTCTTCACCCAGATTTCCCATGTGCTTTGTCCTGTATCTTTTTTCATTCAGCTCTCCGTGTCTTTTTAGTTCCTCCCAGGACAAAGTCTGTTTAGATCAGTTTGATCTGTTCCTTCAGACTCAGTGGTAACAGTAGGAGTGTGAGAAGAGATCATGTATTTGATGTGGACTGTAAATACTGAGGCTATTTTTGAAACATAAAAGATGATCAAACTTTGTTTTCTAGTTTTTATATGACTTAACCTCATATAACTTGTTTGTACCAGGCTTCACGCCAATGACTTTAAATAGCATAAAAAACAAATCAAATGATTGTTCTGCTGCTCTAAAGCAGATTTACCACATCAAATTATCCAATTCTGATATCTGAATAAAACCAAAGCAGTGATGGGAAAAAAGCTTTTATTGAATTTGCTTACAACTTAATGTTATTTTACTCAATGATCAGCTTAATTACTTTCCATGTTTTCACAAATCAAGTGAAAGTTATACACAAGTATAAAACAGAAAACAATAAGGCCAAAAATTCACCATGACATCATAATACATAGAAATAACCTGACACTGTGAAATATATTACATTTTTAAATATCTTCCTCCCGCTTCCTGTCTTGTAAATAAACACCATGATTTTCACTGTTGTGAGACTTTTCTTTAGCATTGTGATGACTGTGAAATATAAACTAAATCTACACATTTGTTCAATTTTTACTCTTCAGAAACCAACAAAATGTGTTTTTGCACTGAGCCACAATACTCTATGTAATGACATCAGATTATGCAGCATATCTTCTTCATTCCAACCATTACAGACTCATTATTACATAAAAACATGCTACCATGACTGTTTTTAAACATTATTTTCTGGACAGAGCAAATGAGCTGAACACATTCTTCAACAGGTTCAGTCCAGGAACAAGCTCTTCATCATCGTCATCATCCTCTCCCGTCTCCATCCAAACTGATATCTGATCCTCCTCTGACCCACAGCTTTCCTGTCAGACCTCAGATGTTCCACCTCAGTCATGGACTCTCCTGCTTCCACCAGTTTGTCTCCAACCACGTTAGGAGACGCTGCTGCCTCCACCTCCAACTTGTCTGTGTCTAGCAGTGAAGACGCAGCTGGAGAGGCTGAACCGGAACAAGGCTGCAGGTCCAGATGGTGTCAGTCCCAGAGTCCCTCTGTGGGATTCTGCAGCATCAGTTCTGTTCAGTCGACTTCCTGCTGCTCTTTTTAGATCCAGGATCTTCAGTCTGTCCAACATGGACCTGATGTTCTGATCCAGAAAGCAAGAAAAGGATTCAAATCTCAATTTTCAACCAAATAACTGGAAAACAATTAAATAAAATGGTTGATGCAACACGTTTNAAAGCTGATAAACAGGTGAAAAACCAAACTAGACAGAACCACTTCTGATTGTTTGCCAAACCAAACATCCAATAAAGTTCCACCAAGCCACGACTAAGGCCCTGGGGTCATGTTTCAAGACACAGGCAAAAGAAGGTTCAATGTCCAAACTTATTGATTGGACAATAAGTCCAATCAATAATAATCAATTTCCTCTTTCACCAAACAATTACAGAGATCAAACTTTCATTTGTTCTCATGCTACCTCTCTTGCTCTGGTAAAAACCATCGGCCCCAAACCAAAATATCTGCTGGTCCTTCACCAGGCCCCTGTACCTATAGGAAGTGGACTGACCCATATTACTTCCAGTCTAAATTTATAAAATAATAAAACAAAAAGAAAAAAGAAAATCAACAATTATCAACCTACAAATAAACTCTGTAAATAATACAAAAAATAGAAATTTGAGAATAAAGTAAGAAAATTCAAATGGATAAAGAAATAAAGAAAAATTAGCTCCAACAACTTCTATTCCGCCTTTCCTCGCTCTGTATGTCGGCATTACACACGACCCGTTGCCATGGCAACCGACAGACAACAGCTCAAAGAGCAGATAGAGCGTAGATGACCGATCAGGAGAATCAACACCCAAAAGCAAACATTTCCCACACAAAAACGTAGCAAAAACACTAAAACATTACATCCAGTCTGTTACATTATGTTGTCAGGCTTAATGTATATTGTGATTATTAAGTTTTCGCCTGAACACCGCGGTGGTTGATTAGCTGATTTAAACAGCTGCTTTACTGATGACGTGGTGGGCGGGTTGTTTAGTGCTAACGGAACCAAAACACACCGAACTGCGCAGCACATGCTAAGGTTATCAAAGTCAATACCAGGCCAGCAACCGTTTGGCTAGTATAATAGACCCACTGCTCACTTGTTCAATCTTTTCTTTAAATTAAAACGTTTTCCTCACCTGTGAAATTCGAAGACCGTATTACCATTATCTATGGTTGAACTAACTGCTAAACATTGCGTCCGTTGTTCTGATTCTTTGCGTGATTGTAGTAGTTTCCTGACCACCGATATTCCTGACTCAATGGAGAGCAATGGCGCATGTGTGACTTACGATAAATCACGTAATGTCCAAGTCCTGTAATATTTATCCATCAATGCTGCCTCGCGCTCTGTCCTTCTCTCGCACTTCCCGCTACTTAGCAGTGGGTGTCAGGTTACATTGTGTTGTATTCAATGTTGTCGGGAAAAAGAAAGAGTTTCATGCGCTTAATGTCCGATTTGCCATAACTATTCATTGAATTCATTGTTGCTAGCTGGGGTGGCAACAAGGGTGGCAAGGCTCTCGTTTGGGGTGGCAACTGCCACCCCATGCCACCCCAGTAGATCCGCCCCTGCTTCCTGCTACTTAGCAGTGGGTGTCAGGTTACATTGTGTTGCATTCAATGTTGTCGGGAAAAAAAAAGAGTTTCATGCGCTTAATGTCCGATTTGCCATAACTATTTATTGAATTAATTGTCGCTAGCTTGGGTGGCAATAGGGGTGGCAAGGCTCTCGTTTGGGGTGGCAACTGCCACCCCAGTAGATCCGCCCCTGCACGTCACCAAGGACTAGATGAGCTAATGAGGTGCAGTTGACGCACAGGCCTTATTACCAACAGTATTTGAATGTGTTCTTTCGTTTTTTCATCTTGAATTTTAATTATTTTCAAAGCGAAGCATCTCAATTAAAATAAGTCATTAAAAGCTTATACATTAAATGAGTATGTAGTTATATATATCATAAACTAGTAGAATATTTTCTTTTTGTTTTTACAAATATTGACAAGGCAACAAAAAGACAAAGTGGCTAAATTGTCACAGATGACCTGCATTCAAAGACCGTAAATAAATACTGTGATTCAGATTTAAATATCTATTGCTATATATCTACATCATATTTCTATTTCACATGTCATGTGACTATTAAAGGTTTAGTCACATGACTCAGATTACCGTCAGTACAAACAATAACCTGCTCTTACAGGCCCAGCCTTTCTCCACTGCCCCCTCTCTTCCCTAGGGGGCAGTAGAGAGCAACATGAAGGCGCTGCTCGGAAGAAGAGCGAGAAAAGTGTCCGGTTGTTGTGGGGAGCGCAGCGTGTTAGTTTTAGGGAAGCCAGCTGTTCGTTGTACTTGTTCAAAAGAGGAATAAAGTTGTTAAAGCATTTATCTGCCTCCTCCTTGCTTTTGCCCGCCAGCGGAGCAGAAACGATAGGAGCTTGTTACCAGCGAACGAGCCGAAATAGAGACCAGCCCGTTTAAAACCAGCCTCTGATTGGACTCTGAGCCAATCAGAGTCCACACATCCTCCTTTTCATACAGGTCTTTAAAGACCCGAAATAAAAATGATCTTTTCATCCCGCATCGTGATGCTCGACCTAAGGATAACCTATTTTTAATGGCTTTTTTTCTTTTTTTTTCTTTTAAGTATTTACTTGCAAGACAAAGAAAATGATTAGTGACCAAATGATCGCAGAAGGCCTACATTCAAGGACTCTGTTCAGGCGGTCAGTGCCTTGTTGTTTCTCCCCAGGTAAAATAAATAAAAACGATGAACTGATTTGTTTTCTATCACTAGAGTCAAGGGTTCCTTTTCAGGATTTTGAATTGGTCCATATTGGATGTAAAAATGAATTAATTAACAACTAAATCTGATCAGAGTTCAAAACCTGGAATTTGGATCAAATTGATGAATGAAAGATGAAACCAAATCTGCCCTGGTTGTGAATGGATGAAAGGTTTTCTCTTGTTTAAAACCAGGATCCTGGTTCCAATGTAGGTTGGAACCAAAACAAATGTGGACCTAAAATGTTCTTTTCTCTCCCATCATCCACCAAAGACCAAGTTCTGATCCAGAACCTGAGCCCAGTTGTTTGTCCCTGAGGATCAACCAGGCAGCAGGATGGAAATCCCACCCAGACCTGAAGTCAGATCCTCAGTTAGACTTTAACCAACAAGAGCAAAATGTCAACCAAAAGCAGAAACATTTGTGGAGCGAAAAACAGAAAGAGAAAAATTAAACCGTATTCTGACTTAAAACAAGTTTAACAACAATCCTCTAAAATACCATTTTCTTGATTGACAAATACATAAAAATATTGAACATTTATCATATTTAAATGTATTAAATTTAAAAGACATCTGCATTGTTGTGTTTTTTTAATAAATTGTTCCTCCACAGAGTGAACCAGCAGAGCTCAGAGGTTCCCAACGGTCCGTCTGCACAGCAGCACCAAACACAGCTGGACTCCATATTTACGGTCTGTACATCAGTTCTGTTCAGTCGACTTCCTGCTGCTCTTTTTAGATCCAGGATCTTCAGTCTGTCCAACATGGACCTGATGTTCTGATCCAGTCTGATTTGTCTTCATCTGGGATTCCTTTTCAGGAGCTGGAGCCAAACTTGGTCCTTTTTATAAAGAACCAGCTGAAGAAGATCCAGAAGGTTTTGAATCCATGTTACCCAGAATGCTCAGAGTCAGAAGGAGGATGAGGAGGTGGTTGATGATGAAGAGCAGAAGAGGAGGAGCAGCACAGAAGCTTTGCTGAAGATCGTAGCTTTTCTTCCAGAGGAAGATGAATCAGGAGGAACTGGCCGAGCCTCTGCAGAGCAGGAAGAAAAGGATTCAAATCTCAATTTTCAACCAAATAACTGGAAAACAATTAAATAAAATGGTTGATGCAACACGTTTAGTAAAAACAAACTGCCTCAATATTTATTAACTGAGACTTAATGACTTTATTGCATTAATGTCTTCCAGTCATGAATCTCAGCAGTTCATGGAAAAGGTTCACCACAAAATCAGTTCAAAAGCTCAGATCAACTGAACAGGAAGTTTCTGTTGTTACTAAATAAACCTAAATTATTTAGTAAACCTAAATAAACAAAGTCAAAATGAAAACTTAAATATATTTTAATTTCTTTGTTGATCCTAATACAAAAAGCTAGACAGCATGAAGGATTAAAATAAAAGGTGCAGTTATTATATTTGTACAAAGAGCATTATTAAAATATTTATTAACCAAATAACCCATATTAGGTTAGAAGAAATATAAAAACATAAACCAATCAGTACATTATCTCAGTGATTCTCTGAGGTCTGAATAAGTCAATATAATCTCAGTAAAGAGCCTGATGTGACGCATCGAGTCCTAAAGTTCTTTAGAAAACTTAAAACATGAAACATGGAGTTAAAAAAGTAAAACACAAAAACAAACTGAGAATCAATGATGATGCAAAACTTCATTATTAAAGATTTTCATAATGACTATAAAGATTAAAATATATAAAATCTTTTTTTTACTGACTTCAATGAACTTTTTGTGATGTTCTAATTTTTTGACCTGTAGTTTTGTAAACAATTTGCTGAACAGAAAACACAAAGAATGTTATTAAAAACTTTATTGCTCATTAAA